CCCCCCCCCGATTAGGCAGACCATCAGGACCCCCATTACTTACCTTTGCACCCCTTGCCCTGATGGCGTCTCCTCGTCTTCCTGCAGCCCCCTCCCCCGGCGAGTCTGAATAAATGAATAAATATTCATTTATGCTGCTTATCACTGTAAAGATTATAGTATGCTGTCTATATATATCTTGATAATTTTGGACATGGGTTAGTCAAGGGACTGAGGCATGCATACTTATACTATTGCCACTTGCAGACAAGCAAAAGAAGACATTATTGGGTTGGGCACCCAGTTCTGCCTGTAATGAGGAAAGAAGTTCCCCTATAGAAAAGGCATCTGAGAGAAATGGCCATCAGGAAGAGGAATTTCAGGTGCCTCAGGCAGACCAAACATTTCTGGGAATTCATGAGCAATTAGAATAATTTTATGGGAGGTGGTGAGGTGGACAAGGAGATAGGTGGGGTCTAAAAAGCTTCCAAGCTAAGGTAGAATCGAGTTCTTTGGATCCCAGACTTTGAAGAGTTCAGGCCTCAGACACCAGGGCTTGTACAGTCAGCAGGAGGCTGATCTCTAAAACCACTAGTAGGACTCTCAGAGGGGCTAGGGTGTAGTGAGATGAGTAAGTAAGAAACTTTTCTTATCTTGTTCTTCTGTCTTCAAAACTATAGTCACTTTTGCTTGTATAATTCTTTTTTTCCCCCATAATGATAAGGGTTTACTTGTTGCTGTTTTGTCTCATTACTCATTGCCTGTGGTGAAGAGTGATCTCTGGGCAAGTGATATTCCAGGCTAATCTTTTTTACAGAAAAGGGGATGTAAAATTTTCTTTCACAGCCTGAAGAGGAGGCCACCTAGAGCTGATTCACTTTATGCAGCTGAGAGGTCTAGTATAAGAGCACTTGAGCTGAGGTTTGTGAAGATAGAGTTATCCCAGGTCTGTTCCTTGGTATAGCAGTGGTACAGCAGGGAGAAACTCAGGGCTTCAGGAATTTGTGATGTGTACTCTGATAATTTCCTACTTCTAGAACATAGTTTTACAAGGAAGAGGCATCCAAATGAAACAGCATATTTTGGGTTTATTTTTCAAGGACAAAAACATTAATTGTGTTGCTTCATGCTTCAATGGAGCATGACTGGAGATGGAGGGCTTGCAAAATGTGCAATTGTCACTTGTTCCCATGAGTAACTGGACATCCCCAGAAGTCTGTTCTGTCTCAGCTCTTTCTTTATAGAAAAAGAAAAGTATTATTTTTAATAATCCCATACTTTTAACTTATTTCCCCTCATTTTGATGTCATTTTGCAAGTCTCTTATCTGTTTTGTTAAAAACCTTTAAAAAATAAGCTGAGCAGGCTTGTTCAATCTTGTGTTTTGGCTTTCTTTGCTCATACTCCAGGTTTTTTCTTTTGTGGCAGTTTCATGCAGAAGCTAATTTGTCTTCAGAAGCTCTAGTATTTTCTGTGAAAACACCCTCAACCCCAAATGTGCTTAAAATATATTAGGAAAGACTTAATAGAAACAATTGCTTTCCTAGGAGAAATTAGATTCAGGAGAAAGTGGATTTCCTGGCTTTCTATATTTTTGGCACCCATCTTCATCCTACTTGAGGCAGCAAACCTGCCACTTTATCTGAAGCATGACTGTGGAATGGTGTTTTAAAGGTCCCCATGCTTGGCATCCCCTTGGCAAAAAAAAAAAGTTAATTCTGAAATGCCATAATTTTTGGCATGCCAGGATGATTCAGTGTTATCTAGTGGTTGCTAAGAGTGGCAAACTAATAACTTTATAGTAGTAAATCATCTGCCAACTAATCACAAATCAATTAAGAACCATGCTTATTAATCAACTTTTGAAATTCCATAGGCTGAGTAGAAGTCTGACCCTATCTGGTTTGCAAGGAATACGGTTGTCTTCTGTTGTGTTTTTTATTATTGAAATTTATTGCAACATTATTCTACACATAACTGCATTGTGGACAGTAAAGTGAGAAATAAATTTAAAAATTCTCTACTACTGCCTGAGCATCTGAAAACGTATTCAATTCAAGGAAAACATCCCAAATAGATTGAATGCTTTAAAAAAAAAAAAAAAGAGGTGAAGTATGATTCGGGGGCAAGGGAGGAAGCTTGATATCAACTGTATTTTTAGATCTGTTGTGCCGATTAATTCAGACAATGTTTTTATTAGATGTTTAAAATTAAGAGAAGAGCATATCGTAACAAATGGGAAAACAAAACACTTACATCAGTGGGATAACATCAAGATAGCGATCCGGGTGTGGAAAGAACACTGAGTGAATGAACTCATAGCTTCCTTTAATTGATGCTGTGGGTGAAAATGGGCTAATGTTTGGTCATGTTGAATGAGGAAAAAGTTGTATCACGTGCATTCCACATCCCTCCTCTTGCTCAGATCTCTAAGGGAAGCATTCAAAAAATGAGACAAATGCTAGCAGAGCCAATATTTGTGGCCCATTGTGCTGTGGATCTTTCCAGTTGAATAAAGACCTCAGTAGTGACTAGCTTAAGTGGATCACATTAGGTAGTTTTTAAATTATTTTCCTCCCTCCAGAATAACTGTGCTGTGCTAGTCTAAAATCTGTTTCTGGATTGCAGAACACCCACAAGTCCCACTGACTAATTGGAATTGTTGGTCTATGTGGAATGACTGAAAATTGGGCCTTTGCCTTAATTCAAGATTCACACTTAGTACCATTTAAAAATCTGCTTCGTTATTTTGGAAAGCATCTAAAACAAGAAGTCTGTCTGGAATCAGTTCTACTGAGTGCTTGTTTAAGGGAAGATACCTTTAACATTTTAAAGATACTTTTTAAGATTATTTTCTTTAAGATACTGGTTTAACATTTTTCTTCAAGATGTCAGCAGATCTCCAGACTCTAGATAATGGTATTATGTAGACTCTTAATGAAGAGACTTGCACCCTTAATTCTGTTTAAAATGTACATGCCACAGTAGTACTAAAATAATTTTCTTTGAGAAATAATAAATTGAACTGCAAATGTTGCTGCATTTGTAATACACAAATGGGTAAGGAGATTTTTTTTTATAAGTCAACAAGTATTTCTATTAAAAAGTTATTTTTCTTTCTTCTAGGTTGGAGCTCCATCCAGCACAATCTCTATCAATGGAAGGTCCATGCTCAGTCACTCATACTCCACAGAAGCAAAATATAATCACTAGATATTATACCAAATGTTTTGCACTTTACTGTTACTTCATAGACAGACTTAATACTAATGGCAAATTATTGAAAATGTAAATGCAGGTGTATGTTAATATATACTGTCAATGAAAATATAGGAATTTCAGGCTGGGACTCCTAATGCCTGGGAAAGATTTATTAGAATGTAATTTATAGTTATATTTTGCCTTTTTTCCTCGAAGTCGGAAATGCTGCTTCAGAACTTAAAACAAGGTGCAAATGTTTTTATTATTATTGATGAACGAATCAAAAGTTGATTTCAACTTTGTACCTTCAGGAGTGAATGACAGCAACATGCTGAGATATACTGATTAAGAGAAGTCTGAGAATTTCAGATCCTTAATTTTGTAATTTTATAATACTTATGTTAACAAATTTTGTAAACTTAAATAATCTCTACCACTTGTTGCCTCAATGTCACTTTAAGTTAAATGTTGTAGTAATTAATAGAAAATGATAATTATGTTCACTGAAGCACACTCTAGCCTCTCTTAGAAAGTATATTTTTTCTTTTTTTTCCACTAAAAGCTGGGCCCACCATTTTGTTTTTAATCTCTTTAACTACTTTTTCTGGTATTGAACAAAAAATCAGGGCATAAATTATTTACAGTGGGTTTTTTTTCTTTCATTCTATTTTAAGATTTTTCTTAATAATGTGGCTTTTCTCATTCTACTATTGAATAATTTTTGTGTATAGCATTATTCTAACATTCTAATAATCATTGTCTTCTGTATACCTTTTTAAATACTTCCATACATGCCAAGACTTAATGGTAGCAAAATTAAGATTTTGATACTTTATGAAAGAAATAAAAGTTCCTTCATGAAGTATAACTAATTAATTGTAAAATCTTTGAAATTATTCATATGAAAAATGATTCCTTTAAATTAGAACAATAATTCAAAGCTTACAAAGCTTATTTCAATGTCTAAAATCTTCTGTTATTCAATAAACATTTGATACTGAAATAAAATTATACAGTTAATTTGGAACGTGTGTGTATATATAGATCTATAACTTTTTGTATTTCCTGTCAGGATGATACATTTTCAAGGGAAGAAATGGTTCATTTGTAATCATAGCTACAATCCAGCTACTGTATAGAGGATGTCTACTGTAAAATCTGAGTTTTGTGCTATTTCCTAAAAGATTTCATGTTGGCTTATGGTTAAATAAAAGTAATTGTTGAGTTTTATACTTTTAACAATATATTTATTTTGTACAGTATAAACATTCTATAATATTCAGTGGGGGGGGGGGTTAATTGAAGGAACTTATAAGAGTAGATTTTTTTTTAATGGCTGACTGCCAAACTTTTTGTTCAGTAACCTGCAAACAGTTTACATTACTTCACTAGCCAGGAGTGAACTATTTGTCACAACTTGGGAAAAAAAAATAGGTAACTTATTTGTAAAACTTGACAAGAATTCATAAATACCATAGTTCATGAGCATTTATTCATACACTTTTGTCTCATGTTTCTTTCCCTTCCTTTACAGTTTACAGTAAAAATGTAACTCCTCTTTTTTAACCGTATAAGACCTGATACCGAATTGCGAATTAAAAAAAGAGATGATCACTTTCTGTTTCGGCAGATCTTAGAGAGCTTATTGCAAAAGAACCAAAGTGCTACACCAGAAAACATGGTAACATAACAGGTGGCTACTTTTTCTAAGTTTTTGTCTTTTATGCTTAACTTTATCTAAGATAAAGATGCTCCTTTATCTCCAGGGAAGGTAGAAAAAAGAAGGAACCTTTGCTGGTTACCAGACTAAAATTGTAGCTCTCCCCAGGAGGCTGAATACAAAGCATCAAACATTTATATAATTTACTGATTCCACCACTAAAGGAATACCTTTCCATTTGCACCTTCATGTTTAATGGTTCAGTTTTTTGCCAGAATGTTCAAAAAGCTCCTTGCATGACCGTAATTCAGTTTTAGCACACTGTAGTTTTAGACTATCTGACCTTTTCATAAGCTGGTACCCATGGAGTCTAATTCTTTTAAGTAAGAAGGGAAACTCAACTTAATCTTCCTTAGATGTTGACTACTTTTTTTTTTTTTTTTAACCTTTGGGTCGGACCTCCACACTAACTATATTCCTTTTGTCCGTACCTGCAAAATGACCCATTGAGAATATGTCAGTACTAGCTTGCCCTGTCTTGTATTGTACGCAGTAGAATATGCATAAGTTGAAAGGATGCCACCACTATGAATGTGAACTCTAGAAGGCAAGTATACCAGCAGTGTGTCATACATAGTAGGAAAGGTATATTAAAACCAGAAGGAAAATAGCTCCCTTAAGCAATGTTTATTTACTTGTATTGAAAACGTATACATAACATCTTCATGATAACAAACTGAAGTCCCTCCCATATAGCATTTACAAAATCATTCTAATACCGGCAGGGTTTAAAAGTCACCTTTATACTTCTTGACAGGTTTGGAGTTGGTTAAACATTGAACCTTGCCTGCAAAATAGACAACAGTTGTTTATGAAATTGTCCTACACAAAGTTGTGTGCTTGTGTTTTACCATCTAAAATTTTTCTTTTTTTTTTTTTTTTAAATCCTTAATACCAGACAGTGATTTATGTATTTTTAATATTCTTGATGGCCTTTGACATGATACTGGAGACTGAATAATAGGGGCACATTGATAGAGATTTTGGGGGCCAATATTAACTGATATTTAAGGAGGCATATTAGCCAATACTGATCTGATACAGCTGCCATCAGGTGGTAAGTCCGGTGTGATGAAAGGGGAGGAGGAGGGACAGATCAACACCCCCTGCAGCAAGGGAGGAGGCAGCGACAGGTGCTGCCCAGCTGTGGGGAGGCAGGACCGAGGTGCGGATCATGTGGTGGGGGCAGCTCCTGCTGCTGTTTGCACCCCGGAAGGGTGTGTGGGGGGTGTGCGCCCCCAGATCTGTGCAGCATGGCGGAGGTGGCAGTTGAAGAGCCAGCGCTGTGCGGGGCTTTTCTTGCTGGGGGCTGGACTTGGAGCAGGCTCTGGCGGAACTGGGAGGAGGCTGCAGCCACCCCAAATTTTGCTACAGCTCTGCTCCCAGCCCTGCATCGCTGCTTGGCGCAGCTGTGGCTTTTTGTGGCGCTTGGGTGGAGGCAGCACGGGGCTGGGAGCAAAGCTCTGGTAAAATTTGGGGTGGCTGCAGCCTCTTCCCAGTGCTGCCAGAGCCCACTCTGAGCTCACCCCTTGGCAAGAAAAGCCCTGTGCACACTGCACAAATCTGGGGGCACACCCCCCCCCTCCCCAGCCAACTGGGGTGCAAAAAGCAGCAGGAGCTGCCCCCACCCCACAAGCCTCACCTCTGCCCTGGATGGGCAGCACCTGCCCCGGATGGGCAGCACCTGCCCCCTCCCTCAACACAGGGTGGCAGCAGCTCTCCACTCTGGTGGCTCTGCTCTGTGTTGCACTGTGGCTGCACACAGCACAGGCATTTGTTGGCTCCATCAGGCTGATATCTGATATAGACAATTTTCTTCACATTGGTCCGATATCAGATTGGTACCAATGTATTAGTGCACCTCTACTGAATAATGTTCATAGATATGCAGGAAATGAGTACTGCTGTGGTATTAATTGCACCCATGAGATCCAGTCCCATACCAGGGAAAAAGCTTTTATTTATTTATTTTATTTCGTCTCAGCAAATCTGGCAACAGCACAAAACAAGGCAGCTACTGGGTGCATACAAGCATTACATTTAAATCTACCTAGGCAAGGTTAGGTTGATCCAGATGCTCAGTCATGCAGTCATTTGCAGGGCTTAAATCACACAAAATATAGTGCACCCAATCTAAGGCAGTTCATTTCAGAAAGGGAACTAATTTTAGATCAATAAAGGGTTAACCCAATCTTGTGAAACACCTGTATGCATTCACAGCACAACTCTGGGACTAGGGAAGCTCAGCAACTCACCCTAGCCCTAGGGCTATGCTGTTCCTACCCCCACACCTCCAACCCTCCAGACTATCCCTCACTCCCCTGCAGACCCACCAGCTCCTCAACTTCGACCAGCTCCTCCCCCTCACCCTGAGTTACTGACTTTGGACTGCCCATGCCACTCCTGACAGTGGTAAATGCCTGTACATGCTGCTCCCATGTTAGATTTAAGCAACTTAAATTAAGCTGCCTAAACTAAACTGGGTGCAGTAACTGCTTGTACATGTTCGTTATATGTCATGTTCAGAAAGTATCATGAAAGGAAGGCTAAGGAATGAGGCATGGTAAATTTGGCCTCCAACAGAAAGAGTTCAAACCACGGGTGATGGTTCTGTTTTTGTCTTTTCTCCTAAAAGCAAACAACAAAATAAGTAAATGGTGTTTCTCCTCTCAGCTCTTAGCATAAGATCATGATTCTACCAAACAGATACTTTGTAGCATACAGCATGGCCTGCTAACCCAGGAGCATCACCTGCTGTCAAATAGGGATTTGGCTCAGTTTCACTAAGAACAATGTCACAACAGATGGGAAGAATATAAATATGCGAGTTGAGGTATGACCAGCTCATGCATCAAGTTATAGATTTGTATGAGCAATTACCAGCAACCAGCATAAGTCCTGCCTTTTAAGATGGGAGCTCTGTTTTGGTCATGTTTACCTCAGTGTTAACGAACATGATAGATGGGCATTCCTATAACCTTCACTCTTGACCGACAAATATAAACCTAAAATTGGGGAGGCTTTGAGTTCACTAATATAATGCCAGGGGCTTTTTTCCTATTCCATCCAGGAAGAGTGCATACCACTGCAGACATTTCCTCAGCCTGGGGGGGAGGGTGTTTGTACCTGAAAGCTTGCAAAGAAGAACTTTTCCAACTCTTAGTTGGTCTAATAAAAGATATCAGACTTACCCAAACAACTAGGGGTGCACCAATAAAACTTTTTTGAGTCGATACTGATGTCTGATTATTAACCAGTGATATTGGCTGATACCGAGCCAATTGCCAATATGCAGTCTGGCAGCTTGGAGACCGCCGTCATGCCAGTAAGTCTGTGAGGGAAAAGGGGCGTGGAGGAGGAAGCAGTGTGGGGGGCGGCAGATTTGGGGCCCCCACAGTAAGGGAGGGTGTGGGGCTGGGGCAGGGGCAGGTGCTGCCCAGGTGGGGCAGGGCCACATCAGCCAAAAAAAAGCCAATTGCTGATAATGTCACTTTTCCTTTTATTAGTGCTAATACAATATGGACCAATATATTGGTGCACCTCTACAAATAACCTTGTATGCCTGTGGGGTTTTAGAATCATTTTAGAACTTTTCTTGATTTAACTGCTATTAGATTATATGGAACCTAACTTAATAAAGGTCTCCAGGTCTTATGAAATAAGTTATAAACACTTTTTTCTGTTTTTTTTTTCATGTCACTGAAACAATAGCCCACCACAACATAGTCTACATAAAGGTATGTCATTGTATAATTAGTAACTATTCCCTGTCCCTCCCCCAACACCCCAACTATTTTTATCTGCAGTTTCTTGAAACCATCTCTTTATCTGTTACTTCAGTAATTGAGGAACATTTCATAGATTTTTAGGGTTGGAAGGGACCTCAGTAGATCATCAAGGCTCTTTCTGCTTCCAATCACATTTATACCAAGGAAATTCAGCCTTGAGTATTACTTTCTTGTTTTATTCTTTTGTTCTGGTAACAAGCTCTGTTCCCTGGGATTTCTCTCCTGCCAAGGTAATCCAGGAATAGCAACATTTGCAGTCTTTTAAAAGTCTGGCACCCATTTCATATATCACTTCCAGAGAACTAGGTTTGACTGAGTTTTTACTACAATCACATTGCACCTAATCTGGAATATTAAAAGCTGTTCAGGAAAGAGACCAGTATGAAACTATACAAAGTTAAAAAATATATTGGGCATTCTTGAAGCAATCAATACTTGAATCGCCTACTTTTAAACTCTTAATTTTTTTACCTAAGTTTTAAATTTAGTGCATTAGCTCAGTGCCCCAAGGTGTAGTTGTGATCTTGCACTGAATGTAAGAAAAAATTGAGAACTGGGTGGAAATAGTTGGAGTCTGTTACTAGGTTTAACAACTAGAGCTAAAGAATGTGCACTCATTTTCATAATGTTCTTAATGGCTCAATGCCATATGAATCACTTTATAGGGCTAAACTAACAGTGAAGAGCTGGAAAATGTACTCTTAA